TCTACAATCTCCCGCTTTTTTTATATAATTAAGGGGATGTTGGGGGTTGCTTATAAAAATAACTTATTGACTTATTCTGGTGTAGCACCGGTAATAAGTATTTTTGAGTGTTTGGATAAACAACTTATACCGGTGTCAAACCGGTAATAAGGAGTTTTGAAGAAGTTAAACTTTTCTGACTTATAATAAGTTGATAAGTGTTTTTGTAAAAAAATATAAGTTGTTTTAAATAAGCAATCTCAAACACCCCTAAAACTCAATTCATTCTTATTTTGAAAGTTACATTTTATACCTTTATAATTAATTATTTAATTTATTTTATATCTCTTATTTTTTTTATTTTTCATTTTACACGGTTATCATATTAACATAATCGTGTATAATCTAAAATGCATCAAAAAGTACAATTTTTTTGCAAATTATACTATTATTATTGTTTTGTCAATACCTTCAAAATGACCTGAATATTAAATATTCTTTGACTTAATCATATCATTAAATAACATAAATATATAGTGAATTTCATTTTAAAACTTACATTTTATACCTTATAGTTATTTATTTTATATCACATTTTTATTTCTTATTTTTTTGTTTTACACCTTCGTCATATTAAATACATAATCATATATTAACTAAAAACGCATTAAAAATGTGTTTCTTTTTTTATAAATTTATCATTATAATCATTTCATCAATATCTTCAAAATAAGCTCAATATTGAATAGTTTTAAAATTTAATAATATTATAAAATATCATAACTTTGGTTCTTTCTTTGAATTTGAAATAATATTTAACTTTTGCTTCATTCTTTTGGTTTGAAATAACATTTTACTTTAGGTTTCATTGCTTTTGTAAATACGATTTTGTATTTTAATTATAAAAGTTTGAGTTAATAACGAGAATAAACTTCATACCCTTGATTTACAAAAAAATTGATATATTTGTGCATTGCGTGGGTACCCAAATTAGTGTGTGTATATATATCTATATACACACACATACACATATATATATATATATATGCGAAGGATCGTGTGAGAAGGAGAGTGAGAAGCGTAAGAAGGGATGTAGATATTTGATCACCTTTAATCTCAAACCCTTCACATCTTTCCCTTTCCATTTCTCTTACTCTCCACATGTGTCCGACCTGTAATGCACATTTTTAAAACAAAATGAGGGTTAGACCATAAGGTCTAGTGAGAAATCCATTTTAATTGTTATTACAGCGTGAAAATCACCAAAACACTTTTTAGAAAGGCATATTTGTATTAATAACAAATAAACAATGTTTTACTGAAACAAATCTTTTTGTCGCATCATATAGATGAGACAACATTATCTTATCACATCAAACCTATTAAAGTACCAAAGTTTTCGCAACAAAGATAAAATATGCCAACTTGTCGCATCTCATTGATGTGATCACATTATTATCGCGTCATACACATCAACTTGTCGCATCATATAGATGTGATAATACACTTCCTCGCACCATATTAATGCGATTACTTCACTTTGTCGAATCACATTGATGCAATAACCCCACTTTCTCGCATCACAAGGATGCGATAAATATTATGATGCGATAAAACCAACTCATCGCATCATAAAGATGCGATAAATCACACTCATCGCATCATGAAGATGCGATAACAATTTCCACATGATTAAAATTCCATTTTTACATACAATTAATTTTGTCATCTTTATTTCAATGTACGTCTCTCCTAATAATGTCACCCTTATCTCAAAATACGTTTTTTTATTATGTCACACTTATACCAGAATACGTCTCTCCTAATTATGTCATCCTTATCCTAGAATACACACATCCCGATTATGTCATCCTTATTCCAACCAGTTGATAATAACATATCAAAATACTAAATTATGTTAAAAATAGCATATAACATATTCAAGATCCCATGAAAAACAAATATAACATAAAATATAATAACTCACAAATATCTCCACCTAAGGCGGTGGAGTTTCAAATTTTAAACCAAATAACTTTAACACACCCCTCAACGTTCAAACTACTTTCAAAAACAACCCTAAACTTATAACCGATAAAATCCGGTTATCACAATATAAATGTTTATAACTAAAATTATCTAAATGCTTAATTGATTAACTCATTTATAACTATTATATAATATAAAAACATTTAATACCATTTGAGGGTATATTTGTCTAGTCTCATCCTTCCTACGATACATTATACAAACAACTTGACACTAGTTATACTAAACACCAAACAAAACCACAAGGGTGGTGCTTGATTGATTTGAGTTTGGCTCAAAATGTCAAAAGTGTCAGGAGGTCCCAAGGAGAAACAAAATCCCCTTGTGGCCACGGAGATTCAAATGCGGTGACTCCGCCCTGCAAAGCAGGTGGTTGCCCTGGGATTAGTCGGTTCGCAAAACGGGTTGGATATCCAGATTAACCAAAGAAAACACCAAACAAAGAACTAGTATAGTCCAGTGTGCATACCATGCATATCCTAATTGCACTTGGAGTAGTATTACTTTTAGGAAATGGTAAACCAAGATTATTTGGATCGGTAAGATGTTCTATGACCTGCAATGACAATCATGCTACATATCGGTGTCGAGCATGGTATCGAGTTCTTGGTGATTTTTGGTCTTGAATTGCATTAAGAAACAATGTTTTCAAACTTCTATGTTGATCACATTATTTTCATAAACTATTATGAAAGTCATCTCATTTTAAAAAAAAATAGAAGAAATTTAGCTGAAATTTTGATAAATATCGAGCAAGATCCAGTTTTAAACATGGATGTTTTAACAGAAATTGTATATAAACATCATACTAAAACATGGATGTTGTTTTAACATAAATTGTACAGATACTAACATATTTGAGACAAACGAAAACATGGATGTTATTTTAACATGAAAGAATTACATTTAAAAAAATATATAACAAACGGTGTTTTCATAATTCAATTTTAACATGAATTACACGTGATATAAGGTATATAGGGATTTTGAAGGACAAATTTATCGGTTTTTTATAGAATTAAAATAACGATTAGGAGAATCTAATAACCTCAATTATGGGTATTTATTTCTTATTCAAGATGTCTGCAAACTTTTTTTTTTTTATATGGAGGGGGGACGCCTCTCCTATCAAGATAAAAAAACCAAAAACGCTAAGAACAAAATACGCACTCGGGTGGGGACGAATCACATCCACCAGAAAGAACCAATGCATCCCGAGGGGAAGGGAAGGAAGAAAACAAAAGGAGAAGAGAGAGAAACCAACCACTAGGGAAGGTCCTAAGCGAGTCAAGCCTGGACAACAAACGGGGAAAACATCGAAAGCAGGCAAAGGAGCCTAACGAGGGCAAGACCTAGACCAGACCCAGATATCCGGGATATGTTTGCAAACTTATTTAACACATAAATATGGAAATTGTATATGTTATAATAATAACTTAGGTTTAAATATAAGTATAAACTTTCTTTTAGTTCTGTTTGTTTTTCTTATTGCATTTTATAGCATAGCATGACGGTTATTGAAATGTATATGTTTTGCAATTTTTGGATTAACTTCATTGTATATACTTATGTCTCTCTTCTCATGTATTCAGTACATGCTTGTTTAATAATGTATGTTACTTAAAATCCAATATTACAAGTAAATTGTACATGATTACAACTTCTGTAAGTTGTATGTTTTGAATATAAACATAATCAAATATAGAATAAACATCTCATTTTAAATATAAAAAAATTAGAATATAATTAACATGATACTTAATTATTATATGTATTAAAAATATTATATTATTAAACCCAAAATATATTACTTCGTTATTAGATCTAAATTAAATTATAATAAAAAAAAAGTGAACTAAAATTATCTTTATATTAAACGTTATATTATTAAACCTAAAATAAATTACTTTGTTATTTAACCTAAATCAATTATAACAAAAAATTGAACTAAAAGATTTATAAAAAAAATGAGAAATTTTAAATTGTTAATTTGATATTAATATCGATATAATATTTTCAAACTTTTATGTGATCTTTAAATTTATATTTTATTCATGTATAAAAACATTATTATTTTCTCAAAAACATACAAAACCGTATTATAAAATCGACAGATACAAATAATAAATGAAAATATTAAAATCGAAGTATATTACATAGTAATTCAAAACATAGAAAGAAATTTCTTTCATTTCTCTATGCTAAAAAGGGGTTATGTGATCTCTCCACTCTATATTGTTGATAGATAAGAGGAACGTTTCACTGAACGAGAAAATAAGTCCAATTTATTCAAGGGAAATTAATCAAAATAGTCATTCATTTCATGTGAATTGGTTTTTTAGTCGTTCATCTCCCTGATTTTATCCAAATGTCATTACCTCTGCAAGTCCCACCTCCCTAACTTGCGAACCTAGCTAAAAGAAAAAAATAAATTCAAATTCAACCTATGTTAGCAAGTGGTATTGTTGCAAATGTGGACCTGGCCATCGCACTTACAGACCCGGTTGAATCTGATTCTTTTTTTTGTCTTTTAGCTAGGTCTGCAAGTGAAAGAAGTGGGACTTGCGTAAGTAATGACATTTAGGTAAATCAGGGAGAGGAATGGCTAGGAGACCAATTTAGATAGGAGAAATGGCTATTTCGGCCAATTTCCCTTTCTATAGGATCAAACCTATGTCTGACATATGCAAATAACTAATTATTGGTCATAGTATGAAAGATCTTTTAGATACACATAATCCATTCGGGAGGCGATTACGACTCATGCTAAGTTTCTACGGGGTTTCTTCAGCCGTAGATTTAGATCTTACAAGTCTAGATAAACTATTTTATTGATCGTATTCGTATTCCCCATTAGATGTAGGAATAGCCACATGTACTAAAAGACATGTTAATCCAACAACAAAATAAATTTTTATAAATGAAAATGTCATCAACACAAATGTCTTGTGGTCATAGAGGTTCACATGCGATGACTCTAAGCATTCTTAGTCATCCGAGGTTTAGTTGTTACGCATAAGCTGACCTGAAAACCTACAGTTACTAAAAAAAAAATTGCCTATTAAATGAACAACACGTGTTTTGATGGATGTGTCTGAATTATAATTTAAAAATATAACGAATAAGGATACTTTTAAAGCATTTCTAATATATCTTCTTTTTCAAAGAGAACTGCTATCAATTTTGGGAAGAGATTGTAAATTTCTCTGAATTTGAAAAATCTCCGATATCCCCATGATTGAATGTTTGGTAGAAAATAGAATACGTTTTTATTGTTTTCACAAGTTAAAATTTATAAGTCGTTTGATATTAAATGTGTTAGATAAAATATTTTTTTTAATATAATCAGTGTTAGAGTTTTCAAAATGGAAAACCATTAGAATTGAATGTAACTTTTTTGGAGATTTTAATTTTTGTTTTCTATTTAAAGAAATTGATCGTGAATGCTCTTAACTTAAACAAACGTCGACCATAAATGTTGAATGGTGCGACATGAATCGAGAGATGACCAAACTGGTTTTATGACACCTTGATTCAGTAGTATGTATTAAAGTTTCTAAATGTATTTCTCATAGTAAATATTTGTGTCTTTCAACGTGTATACAGTGGATATCACATTAAACAATGATGCAAATAAATAACGGTGAAGATGAAAAAGTGAAACTCAAAATGAGTGGTTTTTTTATATCATTTGATGTTTGAGAAATGATTGAATCACACCTACCCAAAATGGGTACAGATTTTAGAAAACAGGTGGTGGCTAAATTTTGCTTAAATATCAATTACTACCAAAACAACATGTCAAATGTAGAACAGTCGGCAAAATAAACCACCGGGTTAGACTCTAAAACACATATACTAAAACATCCATTACCTCTTTGATCTTTTCTTCGTTTGTTTTGAGCCCAACGTCTCCGACTCACCGGAATCACGATTCCGTTTGCCCAAAGTCGCTGCCATTGGAGGTGGTGCCGCCGCTCTCTTTGGTGGTCGCCCGACGCTCCTCTTCGCAGGACTGCCTTGTTCTTTTACCTGGCGTCCACCCGAGCCTTTCTTTGCTTGATCTTTCTTCCCGTCTCCACCACCGCCCTTCACACCGCCACCTTTCTTCTGCTCTCCTCCTCCTCCTCCTTTCCCGTCGTTCTCTGAACCACCACCACCACCTCCACTACCACCACCTCCCGTGCTTTTCAATGTGTTAAGCAACGGCTCATTGTTTGAGGCCGATGAGGTTCGTTTCATTCGGTTCAAAAACTTGGCTGCACTTTGCTTCTTCTCCTCTGCTTCCGTTAGCTTCTTCTTTTTATCGCTTTTGGAGTCTGAAGCATCATTGGCAGGTGTTTTCGCCTGATCTTGATTCGAGTTCACTTCCGAAGTATTCCCACGAATGTTCTTCCCCTTTTTCTTTGAAATCAAAGGGAACCCATCTCTGGATCTCTTTGGTGTGTCTCGGGTTTCCTCAATCACCTTCTCGGAGTTTTTCACCTCTGTTTGCTGCTCCTTTCTCCGATCAGCCCCAGAGGACGATCCCGCTGCTTTAGCTGTTATTGAGCTTCTTTTTCGACAAACAATAATGGGGCCAGATAATTTGGGTTTCAAAAGCAAGGAATCAGGTGGTTCAGCAGCTCGTTTTGGAGGCAAGTTTGTGGATTTGGATGAAGTTTGTTTCTCGGTTAATTTTGCATCGGTTTTCTGTTTTTTCTTCGACATCATCTCCTTTAGGACAAGTTGTCGAAGCTCCATTGCAGAAGCGGATTCGGGGGATTCTTTGGGGAAGAATATTCGTGTGTTGTTGACGAGAAGCAGAAGATCTCGGAAGAATCTGTCGTTGCCATCGGAATACCAGCCTTCTTTTAGCCTTGTTTGTAGTATCTCGTAATCAATGTGTTGCCTAATCAAGTTCTTGTACCTTAGTTTTTCCTGCATAGTTCATAAAAAAGGCTCAGATTTTGACATGCAAAGATCAATTGTCACAATCAAAGACGGCCTACACATAAATAAACAAATAAACTAAATATTAGAAAGTCAATAAAGTAAAAGAAATTAAATAATTTTTATTAAGATTAATATTTTATGGTCATAATTTATTGAAATTAATCCAAACACAGCATAAAATACCTTTCCAAAGAAGTCTAAATTTAAAACGTACCACAGGTGATGGGCCGTTCCCTATACCGAAAAATACGGCATCCAACTTTTTAATTTTTTTGTTTAAAAATATTTAAAATGAATTATTTAATTGATAAATGAAAACATCATAATCACATGTTTTCGCATTTGAACCTTTTTTTCTTCATTTCCTCAATTGCTCGAGAATATTTTACAAATAAATAAATAATAAAATAAAAGGGAAAATATCGCTTAAAATAAATAATATATATACATGTGTGCGTGTGATTGAAGCTCCGAGTTTGAAAAGAATAAGAAGAAATCTTCATTCTTGGAGCAATCCTAATTGAAGAACAACAATAATGAGATGCATTGGATCAATTCTCGTATCAAGTATAATTCATGAGTGGGGATGAGATTAAAAGTGATCAAGGATCCAGATCTCTTCTTACACTTCTCACTCGATCATTCGTCTATATATAGGGATCTTCTTTTGAAAACTCATTAATTTGTGCTAACCTTGAGAACTAATGCATCATATGTTATTTCATATGATTTTTTATCTAATACTAGAATTTAAAATATTGATCAACATATACGTGTTTCACAATGTGAATATTTTTTAGCATATTTGTGAAACAAAAGTTAAAAAAATTCAAATATAAACTGAATATATGTCCATCAAACATATTGAATCCTAACCTAACATAAAACTTATTAAGATTGGTTAGTTTTCATTTAATTGTTCCCTCTTATACAAATATCTGTGTGTATGGAATACGTCTGTGAAGAAAACCCAAAATGACACGTGAGGTTGTTGGTAGGCCTACACACATTCATGAAAATATGAAATCCCCATGTACAAAACTATATGTTAGATGGGATGGGAACTACCACGTATTTATCTATATCATTTTAACATAGTTTTCTAGATCTTAGAAGAATATATATTATTATTTCAATTATTAAATATTAAAAAAACAATATAAATTACCTTTTTAATAAATAGGAATATTATGACCACAGTATCTTGAAAATTATTTATATATGTTAGATTATTTTATATTTTCGATTTTTTATATATTTAAAAGTATGAAAAAATATAAATATTTTCTTCACCTGTCTATCGAGCCGACGCTCGAAGATCGGCGAGCCGAGCTTCTGAAGTTTGTGCAAGAAATCAACCAACGGCAAGGATCTAACAGGAATACTATCTGTGGATTGATCCTCGATCTCACGTTCATCTTCTTTGCTGGTCCCACGTCGCACCCTATCAACTCTCTCCTTCCTCGACTTGCTAGCCGAGCTTTGCACATCTGAATTCTCTTTCATTGTTCCCTCACTTTTCGACTCGGCTATTGACTCGGGCGCCTCGCTCGCTTCACCATCCGGTTCGGTTTTCACCGGTTCTTTGCCATCCGGTCTACCGTTACACGAATCCTCCTCACGAACGGGTGAAAGCGCCGCCGATTCAGGCTTCTCGTCCCCCGGACTCGCTTCGTTTTCATTTTCGTTTTCCGACTTCTCCACACCGGTTTCTAGGTTTCCGTTCGATCCGTTCACCGACTGGTTGTCCCTGTCGGAATCCTCGTCGCCGGAAACCACCGGCTCCGGTGTCTCGTTCTTCGCTTCTTCCGCCTTTTTTAATTCAATCTCTTCATTTCGTTGCCCTAAATCCGCCTTCTTCTTCGTCTCTCCACCGTTTTTTTCACTCTCCTCCGTCAATTTCTTCACCTTCAATTGCAAAGACCTGGCACCAAAAAAGCACATCGGAAACCATCAAGTCTCTCTCATATGTTTTTTAACGAAACTAAACGGAAAGAAACAGTAGATTTATATTAGATCTACATGTAATTTTAGATTTGATTATTACGAGATGTATAGATCGTAATTTTCTAGTTCTCGCTGCAGTTCTAGGACCCGGAGTTTCCTCAATTCCTCCAGCCAAGGAATAGCAGTGGTGGTATTGTCACTGCCGTCATCCATATCGACATCGTCGTCGTCAGATTGGTTGAAACGGCGTTTGAGTTCACCGTATTTCTCTTCACAATGATGAGGAGTGAGAAGGATCGGGGCGGAGCTCCGTTTTCGTAACTCGGAGGATATAGAGTCCCAGCTCTTGGTGCCGTAACGATTGACGGCGTAGGCCAGGAGAAGCTCCTCCCATGTCCCCCACGCCGCCGTCGCCGGCGGTGAGTCTTTGGTATCCTCCGGCTCTCTCTCCTGGTCCGATTTGGCCATGGAAGAAGGGTTCCTCTCTGTTTTCTTCTCTCTGTTTTCTTCCTCTACAGCCATCGGCTCGGCTTAGATTATATACCAAGGCACCGGTTTTATGAAAAATCGTAATGACCTGTAATTACCATTTCACCCTCCTCATCTTCCCTTTTTTTCCTTTCACTGCCAAACCCCCATTTCTCCAATACTCCAACCAAGAACTATTTTATATCCTCCTAAAAATTATTCATTTAATTAATACTCCCTAATTTTTAATTATTTATATGATTCATCTGCCAAAATAACAAAATATTTTTTATTTTTAAAATAAAATATATGTTTTAGAACGTATTTAAAGGATGAAAGTGACCATCTGGTGTATGATTATATCTGTAATTATTATATTCAATGGTTATTTCTGTAATAAAAAAAACCGGTATTTTTACTGTTAAAAATACAATGTAAATATGAAGTCATTTATTTTAAATGGTTATAATAACCGTTATTTATCGAATTTACCGTCTTAAATATCGAAAATAAATATAAAATATACAATTGAAATATTTTTACATTATATTTGGTAAATTAATTGATAAAATAGTTATTTTTTGATAAAAACTAGCTTATAATTTCAAAAGTGATTTTTTCAATAACCTAGTTTAGGACTCTTAAATATAATATTAAATGTACGTCAATTATGTTAATACATACATGGTCAACGTATTCTACGGTTTTCATTTCAGACGGAATTTTCCCGTAAAATAACAACATATTGGATATAGTTTATAACATACTTTTTCGGTTTATACAAAATAACAAATGTTTTAACTGTTAGTTATTTATAATTATTTTTAGATTTGATTATTGTATTATATTATAATTTGGTGGTCAAACAATTACAAAAACAATAATAAAAAATGTTGTGAATGATAAAGTAAAAGAACCTGGATTCTTGCATAATTATTTGGGTTTATTATTGGTAGGGGTGAGTATAGGTGGGTATCCGTCTTATTTGATCGAAACCGGCAGTTCTTGAGATATTGAAATAGGAATTGGAACTGGTTAGAGCGGTTCTTGAATTTTTGTAACCGGTTTCGGGTACCCGCTTTCTAAAATATTAAAAAAAAATTATTTATAAATAAAAAATAAAACATTGTCAAAACACTAAATAAATAAATAAGAATACAAATTATACGGGGATAATGGTTACAAATATTGTTTAACGATTACAAACCATAATAGACTAATAGTAAATGTTGAAAGTTTAACGATTACATACTATAATTGTAAATGTTCAAAGTTTAACGATTACATATTACGAATTCAATTAAACACACAATTTGAAAAAAATACGAATCATTTTATCTCAAATTCTGAATCTAGAGTTCTAAGTTCTTGACCTAATTTAAATTTAGTAATAAAAAATTAATTATTATTTTTAATTGAAAAATATCGGGTACCCGCCGGTTCTGGGTACCCAGTCCCGGTAGGTAACGGTTCTGAAAAATTGAGAACCGGAACCATTCTCAATCGGTTCTATAGTTTAGGAACCGGAACCACTCATGTCAGTTTCGTTTCCGGAACCGACAGTTTCAAGGCAGTTCCGGTTCCGCAAGTGGGTACTCTGTTCCGCTACTCACCCCTAATTATCACATGTTACGAGAACTTTTGTCATATCATGGAGTTTCTTTTAAAACCGCAACAGACACCTTACTAATAACCTTCATGTAAATGTTCTTGGGTTTTTTATAATCTTATAAGCTGCGGTTTGTTAGTTATTTAATTTTTGTTTATCGGGTACGTTCTCTTTTTGACTTATAAAGTCATGTGCTAACAACATAAGCCGCTAATAAATATTAGTCAAATTAAAGTTTTTCTTGTTTTAAATTAGTAAAATAGTATTTACGTATGAACTGTATAAACCTTAATTTTGCTGTGTGATGTTTACAGTATGTGACATGTGAAGTTTCATTTGTAATTTTGAAAAATACTCAAATCATACATGAAATACATTTTTATATGAATTAATTTTTATATAATTTAAACCTCCAAATAATTTAGAAAATGAGATACATTATGTTTTTATTACATTTTTATTAATTGAATTAAATATTACAATTTATTTGATGAAGTATAGTATAACGCTTTAAATTTGATATATAAAATTATTATTTGGAAATATATTTAATAGTCAAAATAAATTTGTTAAATTATTAATTTAAAACTATTTTTCAAATAAAATACATAAAATAATGTAGAAAGTAAAGTCAAATATTTTATACAATAATTAAATAAAATAATATTATAATTAAAAAGAAAATAAGTGGGTGGGTCTACAATGCCAACCGTGATGCTGCAAATAGAATTTGAAAGGGTCATGAAACCCGCTACTAAAGCTCTCATCTCATGGCTTTACCTTGCCACAAATTAGTTCCTAAATAAATAAATACTGGTTATGTATCCGTACAATACGGTGGAAGTTATGAATTTTAACGATTTTGAAGTTTTACTGGTTTTATTAGAAAAAATTTAACGATGATATAAATTACATTTGGTCTTTACATATTAATACAATTTGAATAAATAAGAGTCATGGTTCCAATTATAATCTATCGATGAAAAAAAATTATATGACAGTTTAAAATCCAACATATTTAAACGACTCCACAAATGTGTTCGATTTACACCAAGAGCAAAGAATCAAGAGATCGAGAACAAGAGTTCTAGAGCAATTGAATGAGAGAACTTTTAATGACTAATGGTGAATAACAATTTGAATCTCACATTGGGGGATGAGGAGAAGACGTAGAGATATGAGAGGGTGAAAGCATGAGTGAAAGGTGTCAAAAGTATATTGGGAACATGAAAAGAAAAGTAATAATATGCATTGGAACTTGTACTATCATTATGAGCTGTAAATTAAGATATTTTAAGACTGAATGCATAAAATAGTAATACTTAATACATTATGAGTTGTTTTTAAGACTTTTAAGGCTTTGTGCATAAATGTATATTACTTTGTGCATTAAAAATTGTTTTTAAGACTTTTGACAAATCTGGTTTATAAGGTAATATAGATGTACTAATTTGGTCTCTGTGGTTTGTTAAAGACAACATTTTTTGTCTCTATAATTTTGAAATAAGAAGACGGTCATCATGGTTTGTAAAAAAGATTGGATTTGATCCTCCTTGTAACGATCATTAAACGTGGGATATTTTCATCTTTTTATCGATTTTTTTGTCATACACCCACTCAAAAATTACATGGACCAAATTTTAAAATCAATTTTGATCGAGTAAAAGACAATAAAATTGATGAAAAATGAAAATGTCGCTCATTTAGCGATTGTTAAAAAAAGAAAATAAATCTGAATGTTTTTGCAAACGACTCAAAATTACATGAGCGAAAACTGTTGCTTTTTTAAAAACCACATGAACCATGTTTGTAGTTTTACTTTTTTTTGTAACGTAGTAAATTTGACAACATCTGTAGTTTTAAAGTAAACTATAAATTTGGATCTTGTGGTTTCTCAACAATAACATTTTTCATTCTTATTGTTTTGAACTTACAAGATGGTCATCATAATCTATAAGAATGTGCGGATTTGATCCCTCTTTTTAACGGTTGTTAAAAAAATTCGTTAAATGGAAGACGTTTTCGTTATTTTCTCGATTTTTTTTCTCTTACCCAATCAAAAACTACAGGGACCAAAAGCATAAAATTGATTTTGATTTGGTAAAAGACAAAAATCAATAATAATAATAATAAAGGAAAATGTTTCACATTTAACAGAAATTTTTACGGTTGTCAGAGGAAAGAGTCAAATCAAAAGTTTTTACAAACCACGATAGTCTTCTTGTAATTTTTCAAACTGTAGACAGTTTTTTTTAGACAAACCAGAGAGTAATTTGAAGTTTGAAATAAATCTTTTTATCTATACTATGTTATAAAATATTTGACAAAAACTTTTAAAAAATATTTTTTTATGAATAAAGTACTGTCTATTGATGCATATTACTTGAAATTCAAGATTACAAATAAAGTGTGCGTAAGTACAATTTATTAAAGCTTCATGTTTGAATTCGTGTAACTAACTGCAGATAAACATAATCAAATACAAGATAAACATTTCATTTTACATATAAAAGATCTCAAATATAATTAAGATAATTATTGAGTTATAGCATAATACTTAATTAGTATATTTATCAAAAAATATTATATAAATAAATCAAAAATAAATTACTTCGTTATTAAATATAAATTAAATTATAATAATAAAAATTGGATTAAATAAATTACACAAAAAAACAAGAACTTTCAAATAGTTAATTTGATACTAATATTGATATATTTATTTTCGAAAATTTATGATATCTTCAAATTTATATTTTATTCAAAAATAAAAATATTACTCATTTCTCAAAAACCACATAAAAACCATATTAGAACATCTACAAATACAAAATAAAATGTAACATTAAAATCGAGATATATTTCGTTGCATTGTGCGAGTAGCCTTAGAGTTTGTTAATAATAACAGCATCTCTGACGGATTTTTCAAAATAGAAAGTCATAAATCAAAATTTTTAAATAAAATTTAAATTATCTCCAACATCTTCTTCGTTTTGAAGATTAAAATATTTAATATTTTTCATAAAATATTGTTTTCTCTCCTATGCATTTAATTTTAAGAATCTTCAAATTTCATAAGTAATCATTTTAGGAGTTCTCTTTAAATTTGTAGAATTCCACTCTCTCTCCTACTTTATTCATTTTGAAGAACAGTAAAAATTCTCAAAATCACCATTTTAAATAACTTATTGGAGACGTTCTTAATCCATTTGCTTAATTTTTAACCCACTGTACATTTTTGAATAATTTTAATACCACCATTTTTGACTTATTTTATAAACATGAAGTTGATATAATCTTTTAGAACATGTTTTCGATAGAAATAAGTTTTATGAAAATAAATTTAATTTTAATGCATTTGATATATTACCACAAAATATATATTTACTATTACCTATTATAATTATATATTATATATTATTTTTAACAA